TTATTGAATTGCAGCACAGGACAATGTACTCTGCTGAGTGCAAGTTAGCTCTAATGCACCTTGGACCTTTTTTAACCCTTTCCTCCTAGAAATAACATTTATACACTAATTAAATCAAATGTAATGCATGCCATATTGCTTTTACAACAACATAATGAGGACACATTGTTAATAAACATCTGCTAAGTCAAACATTTTTGACACACAAGTATTTGCAAAATGTTCATTCACTGACAACATACTGTATGTTTAATATCTTTAGCAACTAAAGCATGATTTATTTATTTATTTATTGGTTACGTTTTGGAATTCACAGCACTTGATCAATCATAGTCTTGGTTTAACAATGGATAATACACCAGTGAGTTGAAGCACGAGACAGCAGGATGTGATCATTTTTTTATTGTTCAAAGTCCATAGGATTTAGTGGCATCTAGCGGTGTAGTCACAGATTGCAACTCCGTCGCTTGACATTCCCCTCCCCAAGCGCAAGGGAGAACTACAGTGGCCGCAAAATGCGTGGTAAACGTGAATGGCCCTATATGGTGCCAGTTTTTGGTTTGTCTGTTCTGGACTACTGTGGAAACATGGCGGATCAACATGGTGGACTCCACAGAAGACGACCCACGGCGGAAAACAGTTTATTCTAATTTAACGAAAACATTCCTATGTTTAGGTGATTATACTCATACTAATACTGAAATACATATGAATTTTATATTCCATTTCTTCTAACAGACTCTCCTAAATGATACACACTGGACCTTTAACTGAAACCACAATCTTTCCCCAATTTTAAACAAAGAGCTTTTGTTGCCTAAACACAGGGACTTAAAATGCAAACCGCAGACTCAGATGTCCAAGTCCTGAGCTTTGTGTGTTTCTTGTGAAAACATAATTGGCAAAATAAATTAGTAAATGTAATTTCTAGGAGACAGGATTGTCTATTTGTGTGATATAGATAAATGAGGGATAAAAAAATTATGTAAAAAGTCATGTTACTTACTAGCAGAAGACTTGCTTTTAATATTCTGCAATGCACATGTTGTATTGAGTCCCAGTATTAATTATTTAGTTCATTTTGGGCAACCAAAGTCCATGCGGTGTTCTTCCCTTTTAAATATATACAAAAATTAAGATGGCTGGAAAATGAAAGGTCTTTTTTGAGCATCATCCGCCAAGTTGAAGGCTGATTAAAGCAGAGACATAAAAGAAAGAAAAGTAGATGAATTTGTGTGCATATCTGTTTGAGGTACTTCAGCATCCTCTCTGGGTTCAAGGAGACTAATGACCTGATAATATAATATTGTAAATGGGAAGATCATAATCGGAAGTGAATTTATTTATTACCTGTTGCAGAGCTTAAAATATACAGTCTTGGAAGAACTGTGCTGCACATCCAACTGCTGCAAAGCACCTTTAATTTTAGCAACAATTTGAGCTCAGAAGCTCCTAGTCACGTCGAAACTGGGGAACACCACCCCTCCACGTGTTTAGCTGTCAAGTGCATAATGTCTTGACCTTCTAATACCCAGAATAGACCTCTTTTATTATCCAGGAAATTCCTAGTTTCCTTACCTATAGGTGTGGTGCAGTTGTCTGTGTATCAAATGTCTCACAGTAACACCAGTGGTCCTCTGACTCTAACCCACAGCTAAATAGTTGAGTTGCTCTGACGCAGTTCAGGGAGTACGTTGGAACCAATGCGTGAGTGTACATGTTTGTGTGCGATGTTAAAGGGAAGAGGTCTAACAGTTGTGATGGTCAATTGATATCATTGATATTCATCTAATCTCCTCTCTTCGGGGGGGAAAGGAGTTTTGGTTTCAACACTTAATTTGATAATCTGTGAGAAAAGCACAAAAGGGACATTCTGCAGATTCTTAGCCTTTCCTCAACTTTGGCACTCCCAGAGGCAGGAAAGGAGTATCTTTCACCACAGTTATTAGTTCACAGAGACACCCTTGACCTCTGCGGTGGTAGCCAACAGTCAACATAACTGATGTTATTGTAATGTAGGTTCAGTCTCTTTGACTTCTATTGGAGTCATTCAGGTCTAAGTGTTGGCCTAGTTCCTTGAGGCCCGAGTTCAAGCACATATTGATTTTAATTCACCTAAATTAGGTTAAATAATAAGACTACATTGCTATGATCCCATACTAACAGCTCAGATTTAAAAAGTTAAAAATGACTTGAACATGCCAACAGGCATTTTTTAAATTAAATTATGTGTGATTGATTGAATGAAGATTTAAGAAAATATAACTTTAAGGAAAAAAAGATGAAACAAAGATTATAGCTACAGAAGGATATGTTTGTTTGTTTACACATTAGTGACTGTCATACATGCACATTTAGAAGGAAAAAAAAACTTTGAGTAACTTTTACACCATTCATAAAACCTCATCATGTGGTTTGTAAAGCACTATTGCTATATCTGTTTTCATATAGTCATCTGGTAAAATTGTGTTCATTTTACGTGTCTGTATTTATTTGTAGGCTATCATATTGTTATTATTATTTCTATTATCATTATTATTACAAGTATTTATTAAACAAAATGTACAGTAGGTGTAAGTCAATATAATTTTTAAGTTGGACATAAGTCATGAGTGAGGTGTCTATCATACAACAGAGTAACATACAATGTTTCTGAGGTTCATAGTCTATCAGAGAAGGGGGGGTCACTATCCTTTGATATATTTATTTTATATTCTGAAGGTGACAGTTTGAGTTAATGTAGTGAGTGTATAAAGTACAGAAATGTTACATGAATACACACATAACATAAACAATACTGACATGTGGATATATATATATATATATTTCCTACAGAAGGCAGGCATCAAGAAAATGAAAATAAAGATGAAATTGGTGACAAGAAATTTAAAATGTGTGACACAGGCTGTTGAATAAAAAGAACGCGTGCACTACCTGAGTGGCTTTTTAGAATGGGGCCATTAAGCCATAACAGCTTATGAAGAGCCTCCTGTAGATTTACATGATAAAACTATCTAATATGAGCAGGCTGAGGGTTTACTAAGGGAGAGAGTATTCACAAATCCTCAAGTTATGCCGCGTGTACGTGTGCACGCGTGCGCGTGGAAGCTCGTGCGTGGCGCACGGCGACGGATACAGATGGTGAAAGCCCATCTGTTTGGAGGAAATACATTAGAAGGTGAACGTGTGGACGAGTTTTAAAGAGGGATGGACGGCGAGAGGATCCGGAACAAAGTTTCCATGTAGTCTCTCTCTCTCTCTCTGTTGAAGAGCTCGTGGTGGTAATGAGAGTTTAACAAGACCCAATAAATCAGTTAACGGTGATGGTTTATTGCCCTCAACACGTGTCATTGTTTATCAAGAGTATTTATAAAAAATAAAAAAACAATGAGAAAAAATAACTTCAAAAATAAATAAATTATTATTATTAATATTATTATTAGTATTATATATTCCTACTACTACTACTAGTAGTGGATTATTATTTCCTAGTCGTATTTTGAATATCAATTATTACTAAATCGCCTTTATTTAATATTGGCCATTCAAGATTTTTTTTTATTTTATTTGTCGCTTTCTCTAATGTCTTCCTTTCATTTCTATTTAGAGAGATTTAATTTCTGTCTCCTCACTCAGCCCCCCCCCCCCACACACACACACCAACCCCACCACAACCATCATATTTAGCCCCCTGCACACATTTCCAGCGGGTTATCACAATTGCCATTCCTCCCCTCCTTTCTGATGTGTTACCCAGATTACCATCAGTGCCCCTCAGATATTTTTAACAGATCCTCGGCGCTCGGCAATATCCACTCGGAGCCATCTGGTGCAGATCAAAATCTACTGACTTCTTGGGCTTCAGTCGTTAAGGCATTAAATCTA